TCGCGGTTCCCCGACTCTCTTTGGTGCCGGTTGCAGTTAAAAGGCAGGGACGCTTGCCTTATTGTCTTGGTGTACCGCGCCCCTAACTCAACACCCGAAACCGACTACCACCTAGCGGCTGCTTTAAGATGCAGTTTACAACAAAAATACACTCACATTCTTATCATGGGTGATTTCAATATACATTGTTTAGAAACTGCTGCAACGATCAGAGAACAATTCAAAACCGATCTACAAGATCTAGTAACTACTGCTCCTCTTTACAACCACATCACTTTGCCCACTCGGTTCAGCACTGGTAACAGGCCATCTGTGCTAGATCTTGTGCTTACCAACGAGGAGCATGTGATTGATGCGTTGGTTTTAGACTGCCCGTTGGGTCGCAGTGATCACGCAGTCATCAGTTTCAACTTCGTCTGCTATGAAGAATATCTGAATGAGAACGATGAGACTGTGCGAACCATCACAAGGTACGACCGACTCGCCCAGCCAGTCCGCGCCACAACATGGTCTTTCCTCGAAGAAGAACCCCCAGAAGTCGCCTGGCTCGAGTTCGTCAACAAATTCAGTCAGCTAATTGCACAGGCTTCGGAGATAAAAGTTTGCAATAAGTGCAAATCCGTTTCCTTCATTAGGAGCAGAACCCGAAAATGGATGACAGTACGCAACGCAGCATGGCGAGTGTACAGAGAAGCTCCAGCACCAGAAACTTGAGACAACTACGTAGCCCAACGTAACCACTGCACTCAACTCTTAAGAGAAGACAAAGCCGCCTATCAGCACAACATCGCAAAACCTTCAGTGCTAACCACAAACTGCTATACAAGCACGTTAATAGCCTACGAAAGGTGAGGCAATGATTTCCTCCACTCAAGACGGCTGATGGCCCAACAAGAACGTCTATGGAAGCTGCAAACGCGCTGCAGATGCAATACGCCCCCACGTTTCAAATAGTCTTGCCACCAAGCGATCTACCAAGCTTTGTATTCTGCTCGCCAGGACTAACCCACATCACTTTTACCGCGGAGGCTGTATTGCAAAAGCTGACGTCTCTACGCAAACACAGCTCGCCCGGTGTCGACGCCATTCGTCCAGAGGCATTGGGAGCAGCAGCAAGCCAACTGGCAGGACCTTTAGCACAGTTTTTCCAGTGCTGCTTAGACCAGAACCAAGTTCCCGCCATGTGAAAGATTGGAATAATAACCCCGATTCACAAAGGTAGAAGCAGAACTGATCCCTCCAACTACCGCCCAGTATCCCTTCTTCCTATACTCTCCAAGGTCATGGAATCCATAGTTGCCGATGCATTGGTGTGCTATCTGAAAAACTGCAACCTCATCACTCCTGAACAGCACGGTTTCCGTCGACAGCGGTCATGTACAACTAATTTACTAATTGCACGCAGTAGTTGGATTCAGGCAGCTGACGCTGGAGAAGGTGTTGATGTGATCTACCTGGATTTCTCCAAGGCTTTCGACCGTCTAGACCATCGGATACTACTATCCAAGCTGCAGCATTACGGGATCGGCGACCCTCTTTTAAGCTGGATCACCAACTTTCTACTTCAACGACAATTAGTGGTCAGAGTTCGGAGCTCTTTATCGGACCCCATACAAGTCGAGTGTGGTGTGCCGCAAGGCTCAGTTCTAGGTCCACGTTTGTTTTTGGTGTTTATTAATGACCTTGCACAGGGAATCGCTTCAAACTTCCTAATGTTTGCCGACGATATCAAGATCTGGCGCAGGATCCAGGTGAACGCCGACCAACATGTGCTTCAGAGTGACTTAGATACAGTGTATCAATGGTCGACCCAAAATGTATTGCGTTTCAACGTCAGTAAATGCAAGGTGCTTTCCATCCGACATCAGAGCAGCTACTCATACCGACTCGGAACGGATGTACTGCAACAATCAACTCTCGAACGTGACTTGGGTGTCCTGGTTCAAGATGACTTGGGTTGCTCCAGGCAATCCGAAAAGGCCTCGAAGACCGGGAACCAACAGGTTGGGCTGTTGAGGCGGGCGTTTGGACAAATAAACAGCTCCATATTTCGACAAATGCTCAGCGCGTATGTTCGCCCCCATGTCGAATACACAATTCAAGCCTGGCATCCATGGCTGAAACACGACCTTAATGCACTGGAGTAGCCTCAACGCCGGGCATCTAAGAACGTAATTGGAATGCGCAATCCTTCCTACCAGGAGAGGCTGCTACGACTGGGATTGTTCAGTGGAAGCTATCGCAGAGTACGAGGTGACCTGATTATGGCATACTTGATTCTGCGAGACCCACATCATGTGTGCCGCCCTTTACTGCAACTCAGCAGCAATACAAACCTGAGCGGCCACTCATTAAAACTCGCAGAAAAATACAGTCGTCTGGAGTGCCGCAGAAATTTCTTTTCCATTCGTGTCTGTCACCCGTGGAATGCTCTCCCAGAATCGGTCGTCTCTGCACCAACACTAACAGTATTTAAAAGACGGTTGGACGATGCACTCATCCACTTACACTTTGTTACTTAACACTACGTCTCCATCCTACACCTGGAGTTTACCATGGAATTATTCGTTGTTAACTGTGGGTGCTGTGAATCTAAGAGGATCGCAGAACTACAGCGAAGCAAACGATAAGTCCTTATTTTCATATTTAAAGTATTAACTATTTTACTATCCTTATTATCATTATTGTTATGTTGATATCCCCACCAACTATCCAACGGGACTTGTAAAGCAACGCTTCTTAACCCGTATAAATTCATTGTTCAGTTTCAGAGTTGGGTTAAACTGGCTTAGTCCAGATTAGGCGAGAAGACCTGATATACACAATGTTAGTGCCAAATTCAGCGTCCCTATCATTCGTATGAATACAACATCCAATGTAGTCGAGGAGCTTCGGCATTACTCCTCACAACACTGACGCCGCACACACGGTTCCGTCTTCGTTTGCACTCATCAGGTAGAGATAACCTGAGCTGGAAGTGGAACTCGGTGCCTAATGGTTGACAGCTGACACTGATTACTAGGCCACTGAGATCCGTCAACAAGGCTCGGTGCAGCAGTTAGGGACTCAAAGTTAGGTTTAAGTACCCGTTGTGTGGTAGAACAGCGACATGCCACCTCTATTGAGACCTCGGTTTACTCTAAAGTAGGCCTCGGTCATTCCGATCACCATGGCCAACCACAGAGCGGGTACTCCAAATCCAACTTAGAATCCGATGTATTCCCCTCTATCCACTGAAACTATTGCCACAGCTTTGTAAATTCTTCCTTCAATCAGTGGAGGCGTCATATCCATTTGGTTCTCCACCCACAGTAAAACGAATGGCATAACTGGAAAATGTGGTATTTATATACCACATATTGTTTATCACTGTTAAGCACATTCCAAGAGACTTTGCGCTTGAAGCTATATGTTTAACTTTCCCTTGGATGGCGTCTGTCGTAGTCCTTCTTTTTCTGCCATATTATTCCTACTGTCCTTGATTGGAAGTGGGGAAAACCAACAAACTAGGCACCACTCCTCCATATAGTCGGCGTTCAACATTCATAAACAGTCAACTGACAAGCCAGCTTATCTGAACGTGGACTCCAGGCCAAATAAACAACCCGCATAAGTGTGCCGGTCCAGAGTTGGGCACCCAGCTGGATAAGCTATCCTCTATGTGTCGGGTCCAGGAGGCACAAGTCAGGAATACGTGCATAATGAATCAGCTTCATGTGTAGCCAACCGCCGGCGCGTCATTTGGGTACATCTGACCAACGAAAGTGCAGTGGGGATTTATGCGAACGTTGCCTGTGCACTCATTGATCCAATGTGTGCACAAGCGAAGCAAATATTTCCCGTTGTCTTTTCATTCATAGACAACTAAGTGAAGATAAACACAGAGATGAAAACCACAAAATGTGCTTTGGAAGCACAGGCTGTCGCGATATAAACATTCTATCCGTGTCGGATTAAGAGATCAGTGGAAAACAAGCAACTGCAAGTTGGACCGACTTCCTGCCGTAATTGGAAAGTAGTTAACAGACTAGCTGGTCGACAGTGGGCGAGATCAGTATCAACTGTTCAGTGACATCGGCTAGGAGGTTATGCACAGCTGCGGGTGGACAGTGAACGGAAGTTTGATCAATTGGTTCTAAAGGGGCATGTACCAACCGTTTCTTACACTCATCTGCATTGACCACCGACAGCGGTCGGTACACCCGATACTACGTCACACAGAGATAGCATTGTATGGTGGCAAGGCGATCGAATTTACCCAACCATACCAGCCAACATTCCCAATCTCTATGTTAATCTGCATCGATTACGATTGTTCATTGCAATAAGCGCAGAAGCTAGCCGCAAAAAGCAAAGTTTATCAATGCTTCGCCACAAAACTCATCTTTCCGGGTTGATAGTCGATATTAGGCATAGTGGAACCAGCCGTACTATAAAGATACTTAAAATCGATACACGAATAACTAACTATCCATGAAAGTCTTGAGTTCACCAGCCTTTTGGTAGTTAATGACACCGAAACGATGCCGCACAGTTTCTCTGTCGCAGTTTTCGTCCAAACTTGCTTTTTCATTATGATAGAGTAGCTAAGTCAAAACTTAGAAACAAGATATAGTTTTTCCAAGTTACATAACTTTGGAAACGGAGCGTTGCGCCCTTACACCTGTGGCAATGTTCGCTTCCATGGTGATCAAATATCACCAGCTGATACCCGGGACATAGTCTATGGTCTGCCAAACTGTATTAAGGTACTTATGTTTAGGAACCTGAAGCTGCAACTTCCACGAAGAAGCTGAGTGGTAGGAACACGGGTCAATGCGGATACGGGAGTACCTAGCATTATGGAAGGCGAGTTAGTGATTCAATTCTGGTGGAGTACAATTTTGCACATTCTCATCCTTTTGACCCTGAGTCTTACGACTCAGAATATTGTCAAGAGCATAACACGAAACAATCGCTGCTAGCGATACCGACACACAGGATATGATTGAGGGACTTACCTGTGTAAATGTAATTGATCAGTGTCTGCAAAGAGTTTGGCTCCACATCGTGAATCCATATTTCCATCTCCGATGCCTCCTTCAGCTCATTTCCAAACATGGCGGCGAAATAATCACTAGCCGCTGCCAAAATAACACGATGAGCGGGAATGCGCAATACGGGCTCCGTCGAGTGCGGTGTGCCGTCGTTGCTCTTGTCCCCAAAAGAGCTACTGTCATCGAATACTGGCAACAATGGTTCAGAACGGCTAATTCTACTGTTTGCTCTGGCTCCAGCCAAAAGGACGACATCCGCCAGCCGGCCGTCCCTCAACTTGTTTGACATTCGTCCCAGTAATCGCGACGCATGGGTTGATGGGATGCATTGTTCCAGTAGTATGCAGGATGAACTGCTGGGGACGTTCCCCAGTCTGTTTGCTGGTCGATCTGAGGTAGAGTTTTCGATGGTGCGATAGTGCGAACTTCCGGAGTCCGTTGGTGCGGGGCTTAATATGCAGGTTGTTTTCTCTGCGACTGCTTCTGCGCTAGTCGAATAAGATGAAGAAATAATAGGAAGTGGATTTGAGGCTGAACTAGGCTCTTCGCTTTCAGAGTGCCGGCCAACCTTAGCATTCGTGCTCTGGGTCAGCACTTTACCCTCATCCGAAGATGCGCTTGCGGGTGATACATTAACGTAACAGCACCGACTTGGTTGAGGCATATCGCTAAGGCTTCGAACATGAGTTGGACGGACGATCTCGCTGCGGTCTTGGCTGATGTGCACCTTAGGAACTGGATTCTTTTGTGTGAACACAAACTGCTTAGAGGGTTTTCTGGTACCTCTGCTTTCATTGGTAGTGCAAACATATTGACCCAGAATTTTACTCTTATCCCAAGCACGTGAGAACAGGGAAGTGCTCCTGGTTGGCAAGACGGGCGCCACCTCCTGGTGTTCGTTCTGCGTCGACACTACGGCTACTGTGGCTGTCGTACTGGCCAGTACTTGCCTGTCAGGTTTACTCGATGATCTATGCGCTACCGGCTTTGGTGGGATGGTCCGGGAATTCGGTTGTTCTGTGGATGGTTTTGTGACACCGACTGAACGAACGGATTTGTGACGAATATCAAATTCTAATTCACTCCTTCCACATGGGCTCTGGTGCGGATGCTGTGATTTGAGTAAAATATGCCGATGATTACGATGCAGACGACCGCTGGAAGAGGATTGAGACGTGTTCTGAGGCTCAGTCAAACTTGAGTGACTCATGGTCAGGCGCTGTGCATCGGCTGTTAATTGTGCAGCTTTGCCGAATTGGTTGCTGGGTGACGATGGTACGTAGTGTTTGGTACTGGAGCTGTAGTAGCAAGGATATGCGCTTCCTAGACTACCGCTGTGAAGGTCACCATCGGTTACAGACACATCTGGAATCGAGTGAGGGAGCTGGCTTTGGCTAGAGCTGTTGCCATCTGTTGCATGTACCAACCGTAAACTGCTGATGTGGCCGCAATGAGATGACTCCGTACGAATAGGCCTTTGTACATGTCCGTGTTTGCCATGGCCTGATGCTGATTCGCCTTGTACGATTCTCGTGTCAAGGTTACTGTTCAATACAATAAACCGGTAGATATGTGAATCAGGGAAAAGATAATAACTGGGGCTCGCATTTGTCAATATATGACATAAAATGATATCAATCTAGATATTTACGATGCACTTAAAACAGTAGTAACATATCATCGACGAGATGAGGCTGGACGACACCCGGCTAGCATCGGCAAAGGTAAGGTGGCGGCTTCTGCACACTTGAGGAGCGCTTGTTGTGGCTGATGATGTTTAAATGAGATCACAATGCAAACAGACCGCTACATAAACGTGAAAATTGGCTTCCTCTGTTTGAGCTTTTTAGACCCTTTCAAACCTGTGGTATTGGACCAGGAGTCTGCCAAATGAAGGTTTGTCAGAGACATAATGTAGTTTCTACCGGTTCGGCCACCATTGTGCTCTTTCAGAAGTGAGGTGAGAGCTCAGTGACCCCTTCAGACCGTTGTGTGACGGTACACAAAGCTCCTTGACCTGAAACTGCAGTCTAGTGCTTTTCCGGGCATGTGAACGACTATCTGATTTGGAAACTGGCTGCAAAGAACCTCACTTAATTACAGCAAAATCCCCTACTCATGAGTACATAAAAGTACAGAGTGTTTAGCACTTGGACAAAGTGAAACTACTGAATCTTCATGGACAACCGGTAGGATGCCATATACGTTGGTTGACCAACCCCAAAGAGCAGTGTAACCATAGTTTCAAAGCAAAACATTTCAGTGTGTGGAGGAGATGCCCGCACTATAGTGCTAGTGTCAGTAAATGTCATGTAATTGAAGTGGAGTAACTCAGGAATTCCGACAATTTAAGTTATACAGCGGATTTATACCGAATATATACGCGGGTTTCCACCCAGTACAGGCCACGGAAGACTAAACGGACATGGGTTCAGATATATGGTGTATTCTCATCAGCTGTGTACACACACTGTGGAATCAGTATGTTGCACACACGACGGCAAAGCACAGCGTAAATTCATTGTTTAAAGAAAGCTAAGCAGCAACCTCACCAGACCAAGGCGAGGATAGTTACAAAATCCGTCCGTTTAGAGTTTGCAAAGCTTAGCGATTCGTCGGTTGAAACCCAATTTTGTAAGCAGACGGAGTTCGTGACTACCATTGCCTTGTCCTGGTGAGGTTATCGATTAGATTTATTTAAACAGAATGATTTCACACTTTGCCTTACCGTCGTGTGTGCAACACTGATTCCCCAGAGTGTGTGCACACACCTGTTGAGAAGACACAAAACATCTGAATACAGAGTATTCGCTTGAAATGTTGTTTCTTCTTGCTATATTAAAGTTTATGAAGAGAAAAGTCTGTATGAAATATAAAAGAATATGTTATTAAAGAGAGACCATGAGAGACGCACTGTGAAACCAAGAGACAACATATCCTATGCGAACTAAGAATAAAGCCTAGAGGCACAGGTGCAAACCACGAGCGCAGAATTCCCTCGGGTACTGCGATATCTGTGGAGTAAGGCTGATAATGACAATGTAGGCCGTAAGGAATGTGTCACGCCGATGCCAACTCATCCTGGTACGAGTGCCAGTCGCATGTATTCACTTACCACTGAGTTATTGTTTAGGGTGTTTAGGCCTTACACTACCTACTCCTTTTATTGCTCACCATACCATAGGTTATTCTGGTTGTATGATTGGGATCCCACAGTTCAAATCACTGATGTGCTACTCTTGTTGAGGATGAGGATGGTGCTACTTTTGTAAATTTACGACTGAACATCACACTGCACACATTATCAATGCGGCAGATAAACAGAACGCTCGATGACACTGATGTTCATTCGGTCCGAAACTAGCACTAGTATCACGTGCCTGCCTAATGTTCTGTACGCATGTGGTTGGAATCTGGTGTGAAGTAATGACAGGTTGTCACTGAAATGCTACAGGATTATATCGGAATAGGATGACAATAGATGCCTCACCACCTAGCTTCGCGGAGTCGATCTAAACCGAGATTCGGTAATTGAGACCTCGGATGAACACAAGGCGAATTCACGAAAGAAGAGTACCTGATGTCGTCTGGTCATGCAGGGGCCGTTGCATGGTAGACATTCCGAGCGCGTATTCCCGCGTCCTTGTGCAACTGAGTAGCAGGTTAATTGTGAATTCCAAAGCAGGCACTTCGATGACCTGCTGGTCAATTAGGTTTATGGACTACGATTTCATTTCTGGTATACTGCACACTACGTAGAGACGGGTAATTGATTGCTTACCTATGGTGGTCTCGAATGCTTGTTGTGCGTATGGTGATGGTTGCGTCAACAAAGTTTATGCTTCGTCTTGCTGTTGCAGTCAAGCTACTTGTGTATGACCGAGACGTGATTGGCATGTATCTTAGAGTGAAGTGTCACTTCCAAGTGTGCTCATTACGAACACTGGTAACATGTCTATTCGTCCGATGGCAGTACGATAGTTACTGATGCAGAGTCATTGTTACTCGCTGGTAGAGTTGATGAGTGAACAATCGCCATAGCCGCGTCAGGCTCAAATAGTGACCATACCATTCATGCACCACAGGTACATACGTATCTTCAGTTCCGGGCCCAAGGACTGTAGGTCGGATCTGAAACCATCGGGACTGTTAAGCTCGTGCACCTTGTTTTTATATCTTCGAAATGACAACTGGTATGCAGTACGTACGAGGACAGAGCAATAAGCTTTCGCATACGCAGTACACCGATTGGGTGCAGATGACATGGCAAGAAAAATGAGAACTGTAGTCCATTCTGAACATTGTTCAGTGATTTCAACTCACAGAACCCTATATTAGCAGCTAAGCACAGCACACAAGTCATAAGGTTCGCTAGACTCTGACTGCAAGCATGAAACTCAGTCGACGTCACTGGAGGGTGATGATTTGCTATGACTAGAAATGTGGCTCAACGCAACACCGGAGTGTTGAGCGATCGCGTGCTGCGTTTGGTGATGATGCGCCTTCAAGAACCACCGTGTTTTAGTGGTTTGCGGAATGTAAGCGTGGTGGGCGGTCCCTGGATGGTGGGGTATGATATGGTCGACCTGTTGAGGACATCACCCTGGACAACATTGCTACTGTGCAAGTGATGCTGGAGGAGGACGCGCAGGTGACTGTGGTACAGCTGTGGAAAGCCATGGGGATCTCATCGGGATCAGTCCACACCATCCTACATGAGAATTTCGACTTCAGAATGGTTTACGCACGCTGGGTATCCCATCAACTCGGTGAGGATCAGAAAGCTGCTCGTGTGAACTGGTGCCGCATCATGCTTGCCAGGTTGATGATGGACGTTCCAATGCTGTTTGGATGATCCTCAGTGGTGATGAGACCTGTGTGCACAGTTCCGACTCAAACACCAAGCAACAATCTGCTCATTAGAGGGCCGTTGGTAGGGCCCAGCCTCAGAAATTTAGGCGTGAGCGCAATGTGGTCAAGCGGATGGTAGCTGTGTTCGTGGTCAACACCGGTCATGTGGCTACCGTAGCGCTCGTATGGAAACGCATAGTCACCGGAGATTGGTAGGCCATACACTGTCTGCCACAAGTGCTGCAACCTGCAGCCAGGCTTCGTCCAAGGATTCGAGCACGAGGGACCATGCTGCACGATAACAACGCAGCTGCACACATGTCCCATGTCGTCGTAGATTTTGAGACTAGAGAACGCATTCTGGAGGTTGATCACCCACCTACAGTCCGGACCTGACTCCTTCTAACTTTCTTTGTTCCCAAAGGTCTGACGCATGATGCGTGGAATCAATTACGAGCCTGGAGAAGCGGCAGCAGAGGCCTTCATTGAGCTGCTTGAAGGGTTACCAGTTTTACCATGGTCTAGCTGCCTCTCCAAATGGCTTAAGCACATGGAACTGTGCATGAATGCTGGTGGAGAGTACTACGAGAAAATGTAATGCTTATTTGGTTGTAACAATAAAGTTTCATGTGCAACCGGAACCTTATTGAGCTACCCTCCTAGAGGGAGACATGGTTCTTCCAGAGGCGCAGGTGTTCTTCGGCTGTGTGCAATCACAGTGATTGGCAGCTCGGGGAACGGATGCCAACAGTCATGTGAACACTACATTACCATGTAAGGCCGTTAAGATTTCACGATAAACAGCATTTTAAAGTGGTTGGTCTACTCTACACGTCTAAGAATTATGGACCGAAAGTAAACACGGACAAGCAAGGGCCAACGCAAGACGGATCGATATGGAGCAGGGTATAACACGCTCGATAATCTGCGACAGCCAGTACCAGCCAGCAAAATTTCGCCCACCATACTACAAGTGAGATAGCATCCTGAAACCCAACTGAAATTTTGGGAATCTCCGCTACAATCCGCCCTTGAGTTCCGCTTTCATTCGCGATATAGATCCAAAAAGTGGACATCGACAGTAAGTGTAGTGCGCTTTCTGGTTCATGGGAGTCAGACTTCTGATGAAGGTCCGCTGACTAATCTTAAGCAGGTTAGACGTCGCTGAAGGTAAGGAAATAAAGAAAAGTGGGACAAATTCGACACTGATGACAAGGCGATGAAAGAACACGGACCAGAAACTAGTGTGAACATTAAGCGATAGCATACCAAGAGCTATTTGTCTACGGGCTTCGTAAAGTAGCCATCAGCATTCAGTCGACGGATAATTGTGTGTGTTAGCAAGGCTTTTGGTGCTGCCTTCAACCTTGTCGCCAACTATGGCTATTTGAGCTATATTCGAGGGAGATGCACCAGAACAGATATGGGACTTGTGCATCAAACTAGGTGAAGATTCGTCCCTGTACGTAAGCTTCAAGTTCGTGGTTAGACAGACATGTTCATGCAGTGTAATGGAGTGCAACATCTTTAACCAATCATCAAGTGAATAAATGGTTGACAAAGAGCTTCGGTTCCGTAGCCCTAATTATTAACAAGGTCAGTTTTTGCCTACATTCCACCTTGTTCCAAAGCACTTATAGACAGACGTGCTTCGAATGACGGTATGAGGTTCGCTGTGGTCAAGTGCTGCTCTGCGTTTGACCATCGTCGGCTACCTCGTTGATTAGATCGGATGTTGACCTCCAACTATGACAGTATCTGTGTTGAAGTTGACGGTAAGAGATTTGGGAAACTACTCGAGATAGAGAGAAAAGCCTGAAGCCTGGCCTGATGCCCAGTGACTTATAATGAGGTGTAAATTGCTGAGGCGAAGTTTCCTCATCTAAGGCAACCTTACCACTATTTAAAACCTTTGTTGATAATTTGTAAGGCAGCAGGCCCCAGGTGAGGCTACGAACTACGATTCGACTGGCCTATAGCACAAACGCGACAGTGACTTATAGCTAGACGGATAAATTGCAATGTAATAATATTTGTGGATCAGCCTTGTGGGATTCTACGACACGAATGAAGTAAAGGTGAGCGAAATTTACTCTACCTCCATCAATTCCTTCCCTTCGTCATTTCACTTCCTGCTAAATACAGCTTCTCACAGTGCAAGTAACACTGTGAGACAATCCAGACTTTTAGCGTATTCCGAAATTATTTTCCTACAGAGGAAGTGATTTTGCCATTTTACAAGCAAAGTAAACGTTTCGCTGACCACAAGTCAGGTTTAGGTACTCTGGGTGTGACACTTTAATTCAGAGATGGTTAGTGGATTTCGAAGTAATGTTTGGGATATTGGAAACAACCGGATTTAGCCAGACAACAGCCACCTACCCGCGGAAACGTAAAATGGACACTCGTGACTTAGACAGTTGCTTCGTACAATGTCAGCAATGGGTTTGAATCCCGAAACACTGGGTTGAATTGAGCCCTACTGATGCATCCCAATAGAATTAAACGGCTGTATGAATTAATGGTACCGCGACAGTTTTTACGGTAATGCAATTGCTTAAAATTCTTTACTGATAGCATAGAATCGGCAGTTTTTGATAAGCTCATATCACCGCAAGACAGATGTTGATTTGGCAGGGTAAGCCTTGCTCTGGCGGCCGACCCTTTGTTTTACATACCAGTGGAGCGTAAGGCTAGCCCCATCACATTTGATCAAAGTCACGAGGACCTCCGCTGTTCCTGTAGCCCCGTATCATTTAGCAGAGGATGCTTATCACAGCTCGCATGCTCGTGAGTTCTAATCTCAAAGGAATCAATGGAATGCATTTTATTGACGAGTTGAATAAAATGATCGGAAGTGCCGTTGCGGTGTTACTAAGCCTACGTATGAGGCAGAGGTTAGAAAATTCTGATCTTCCAACTGGTTTCCAGTTCAGTCTTTTCTCGTAGGCAAAAGTATGTCTGGAAACGTGTAGGTCTGAATTGGAGGAAAGACCGCAGTGGGGCACTGATTCCCTTCGTTGCAGCACAGAGTGCCAGCCAATGGGAACCGGACTGTTATGGATGAGTACAGAGGGATGGTCACCGTTCCTCGGCTATGTGGGCGTGCGTATCCAAATAGGGCTCTCTGTTCTGGAAAAAAAGTTCTCGTAACCAAAAGCAGGTACAAGCAAACTTCTGATGCCAAAATGGTTACAGTCGTATTATGATCTATAGAAGATTATCTCAACAAACTAGTGGCTAATTAGCTCTCGGAAATAAATAGGAAAAATGGCTAGATATTCACATAAGGTGTTCCCAGTATGCTTTATACATAATTTTCTCACATAGAAAATGTCTTTGAAGCCATTTCTAGTGGTAGCAAATATTTTCGAGTATAGCTTGAATCATGGTTCTAGAGGCGAGTTATCAAATCAGTTACGTAAACATCACTCACGAGTCAGTGTGTTCCGCTACGCTGGTAGTTTCATGTATGGAAGAAGATTTCCATGGTTTAGTTGCTGTCGGAGAACGAGCGGAGTATGGTGAAGTGATCTCCGAGTGCATATACAGCTCAACCTGGTTCGATTTCCTTGCAGAAGCAGTTGACGGAGATGCCTGCTGAGCACACTGGCTGCTATGGGAAGCTTCTCTCTTAGGCTGCTGGAACCTTTTGCATTCAGCTCTTCGAGCGAAGTTGACATGCTGGGAGATTGCCTCCGTGTATGTTCCACGGTCCCGACGGTGGGCGATGGATGGCGTACCACAGGCCCCATCCACGACGTAAATCAGGGACCTTGACATGTAATCCGGTGCATTCATTGTTTGACGTTCGAGCTTGTTAGCGGGAAAAGTATGAGTGTGATTACGATAGCAGGAGCTGTCTCGTACTAGCGGGTTAGGATCGGTGTGCAAACCATCTTCCCAGGCGCAGTGGCATTCGTGATTACTGGCCGATCGATGGCGCCCGCCGGTGGTCAAACTTTTCCTAACTTTATCTGCGAAGTCACGAAAGTTACAAGTTAAATTCATTTTGTCTGTTTGTAACGTTGATGTTGCCAAGATCTACCGTGCATCACAATCAAATCACCCATTGGGATGACCAACTAGCCGGGACAGCCAGTCATAACGTCGGCAATCATCGTTTGCCCATGCCAGTGACGACCTATTGATCGTGGGGCACTGCAATGTGTCGGTGCTATGCGCGCGCGTGCGAGTGCTTGCCTATTGGCTAATTGAGTGGGTCAATAAGTGACTGACAAGCCGCAGCAGAAGCATGGCTTAAACACAGGTGATCAACGTTTTGGCAGACGGGTGGAGAGCCGCCGAACGGTCCTCACTACCGGGCAGTGCTGTACCAAGTGCGAGGTTGCCACTGTCAATCCCTGGCACGAAAGCCTAGCATCGGTAAACGCACCATGCTTTGGCACAAAAGGTGAAACGATGCGTTAACGTGATGGGGAAAGGTTAGGTTGCTATGATGGTTTACACCACAACTACGTTAAAGTGCCAAAGCAAAGTGAACAATTTAAGGGGATAGGGCGGTTTGGCAATTGGATCGCAGATGGTGGTTAAACGTTCGGCAAGGTAGCCATGATGGCCTCGGTAATGGGGAGATTAAATAGAGGCATTTACTGATGGAATGTTCTTTGTGTGACTGACGCAAATAGGAAGCTGGGGTCAGAAGTTAGTGGGCAATTAAATCAGAGTTAAACACCATCAATTACCACAAGCTTCGACCCTAGCCCCTAGTTTTGTTGGTATCCGTAACACTGTCCGTCAGAGGAGTGAGAATGCGCTTTGTGTCCAAGCTATCCACTGGTCAACATGTAAAGTGTATCAATTCCAAAGGAGGTTCGTTACGACTGCACTCAGTTAGCCTGACAGCATAACTCCAGCTAAGCACTGGACAACAGTGGAGAGATCTCAGTGTTGTTCACTGTACTCCACCGCCGAAACCGTCCTTTTCTGGACACATTAGGCACCACTACATCCTGGGTTCCGCTGCCTGATGAGTCCAAACTACGAGAAAACCGGCGGTGGAGTGCAGATTTTGGAGCGAACAATTTCGGAATCTGCCTACTTCGGACAGAGGCCCAGTGATTGAAATGACCATGATCTACTTCAAAGTAACCCGAGGTCCTAATAGTGGCTGCGTGTCACAGTCCAAACACACAGCATGCACTCCAAAAACTCAATGCTGCAGGACGGTTTCACCCCTTCGGGATTCGTCAATACCGCGCCTCCCATTTACACATCGAGGAGGAGAAATTTACAATCATCTGCGTTCAACTTAGTGACTAAGCTCAATGGATGATGGAAATGGCGGAAACTACCTCGGCCGGGTAACTAGTTGCGATACGGCGCAAATCAACTGCCGCTTCCATGCTCGCCCCATCGCGCTGATTTCGAGTTCAGTAGATTTTTCGACCAGCTCACTGGATGTGAACGAACCATTACCGTTCACGAACATAGGCCAAGTTTATGGGGAGTGGAAAGCGATCTACCCATGATTGCCCAAGCGAGTAAGAAGCAGTCATGATGCAGGAAGTTTAGACGGGGACGCGGACATACTACTATGGGGTAAAAGGGCCACACCAAGGAGTGTATAAAAAATTCATCCATTCGTAGGTCGTCGTCGGCGATATCCCTGTGCGAATCCGTCAAGCGGTTAACTGTGCATGATTGGGATTTCTTGATCGAAGCGCTTCTCCAGGACCTACGCTATCACTCTTACCACCGAAGGCTGAAGTTGCTGGGAATTTTCAGCGGACACCATCGAAAGCTGTGCGGCGATCTCATATTAGCGTATCAGATATTGAGGGACCCGAACCATGTATGCCGCCACTTGCTGAAACTTAGCCACAACACGCAGCTCAGGGGCAGCTGCTTAAAATTGAAGGAACAATATAGTCGTCTAGAGTGTCGACGTAATTAATTTCGAACAACGAAATAAGGAGATACCTATTGGCCGATGCTAGCATTTCGTACTATCTCGTCAGTACCAATAAAATAACAGGGAAATCCTTTTATATGTCTAATAGGGCACAGTCAAGCCAATCAAATTTATGACTGTGGTCATTGCTGTCGGGATTAGGAACACGGCAACCGCACGTTGACAAGTAATTGCTTTTGAACATACAAGGCTGGTCTAATTCGGCTTATCGCGACGGCTTCGGCAAATCGCAAAAAGCGTGAATTAGTATGACGCAACAAGATCCGGAACGCCGATAAGGGATTGACCCGGTGACGAGCCGCCAAAATGTGCCTGCCTATGGAGGACGCTGGCGGCTTACGCGAGCACGTATCGTCGAAGGTGGATTGAGTAACTTCGCGCTGAACCCAGTTTGGTAAGTGCTCCTTCACTTTGGAATCTAAAGCCCGTTCGGTTCTGCCGACGTAATTGATGCCGCAATCACACACGAATTGGTAAACACAATGTGAGTTGGCGCCGACGGGTTTATCTTCCTTTACTGAAGGTAACGGCAACTTTCGGGTTCTGTTGATAATTACCACCTCCGCAGCACAGTAGGTACGCTGAACTGCTGAGACAATGCCTTTGGTTGTCCTTCTAGCTGCAGTGTCACCCTTGAACGGTAGCTCGATGTACATCTTTTTCTTTGGGTCTGTCAACACCATTTCCTTGGGCGGTCTAACCTGGCTATGTTTGTCTATGAGTCGCTTTGGGTAACCATTCTCCATAAGCTTTTTAGTGATCAGCTCAAACTCATCAGGCAGGCAATCGTTGGAGCAGATACGTCTGGCCCGAGTGAATGATATTTTCGCTAGCGCGCGCTTGTGTGCCATTGGTGAGAAGCTAGTGAAGTGCAGGTATTGGCCGGATCACGTTGGCTTCCGGTATACAGATCGCGTAATCAGTCCATTATCCTTGTGACTCATGAGAATGTCGAGATACGGAAGACGCCCATTCGATTCGAATTCAAAAGTCACCTTTAGGTTGGCGTGAACATTACCAAGTTGGTCTACTAATTGTTCGATTTGCATCTTCGTGGAACCGAAAACAAGGATATCAGCTACATATCGTTTGTAATACGGCAGCTGAGAAATCTCTCCACTTAGTTTCCTCTCAAGCATCAGCATGAAAAAATCAGCTAGTACCCGGCCCAACGGACTACCCATAGCCACTTCATTAATTTGGCGATATGAGGTGTGCTGGAATCGGAAAGCAACGTTCTCCGTGCAAACTAATAGGGACTGTCTTAGGAGGTCTGTCGGTATTGGTAGACGGAAATTCTCCTCTTCTATCAGGTGGCAAATGCAATCAAATGTCTCTAGCAAAGGGACAATAGTAAATAACGACTGGACGTCCACTGAGCACATAATCTTGTCAGCTAGGCTGATTTTGTCTAATTCTTTGATTATTTTAAATGATTCCTTAATGCTGTGCAAATTGAAGTGCTGCCTCAGTGGCGCAAGGATCCGAGCTAAACAGCGAGTCAATTTGTGTTGCGGTGAATTCAGCATTGACAAAATGGGTCTTAGTGGCACACCCTGCTTTTGAGTTTTTGGTAACACGTACAGCTGTGGTGTCGATGAACCACTCGGCTTAAGGTGTTTGTAGGTGATTTCCTCAATTACACGATGTAGGAGAAGCGTTTCAAGGTGTCGGGTTATACGGGCCTATACCTCTGTCAAACATTCTATCCGGTCGGTGCGTTGAAACTTGCTTTCGTCACTTAGAATTTTTAGCATTTTTTATACGTAACCGCTATTGTTCATGACAACGGCTCCTGAACTTTTGTCCGGTTTTAGTAAAACCACTCCCTTAGTTCTTAGCTCTCGTAGCGCTTTCAAATGACGGCTTGTAAGCGCATACTTTTCGTTTACCGGTACCATGAGGACTTCATAAGCAATGTCGGTCAACTTATTCCTAAACCAACTGACGTATTATGCCGGAGACGTAATACGTGATTGGTCATGCTGCTAATCTGGTGTACGGAGGTTCTACTATCACGCGAGCGAGATGACATCTAAGTGAGTGGTAATAAGAAGCGGATTGATAGTTTTTGCTGAGGCTGCAACCCTTTCAGGCTGTTGGAAGTGAAGCTTTGAAGGCTTACACGAGCGAGATGACATCTAATTGAGTAGTGATGAGAAGCGGATTGGTTGATTGTGTTGAGGCTGCAACCCTTGCAGGCTGTTGGAAGAGAAGCTTTGAAGGCTTACGGGTTGACTGCACGGTTGCCTTCCTTGCTCGCTTGCCTATCTGGCCACACGTGATACGGTATGCAGTGTAATCGTGCCACTGCGAGCAATCTGAAGAATCAATCCGTATGCCATTTCGTTTAGGAAATGCACGTGGTTGTTAAGGCAGTGCGAGGTAATCACAAACAATACGGTACTTCGTACGAAGGAGGTAGATCTAGGACTTCTTCGCAAATAGAAAGTTTAAAGCCTTTACAGCTACAAGGTTCCTGTGCTGTGTTGTTTCAGTTGGCCGTGCACTCATGTGAATAGTGTAGCTACGTACTGTTGATGTAGTCGACGCATTGTATACTAAGGTCAAGTTCACTGGATAGGTAAGACCATCAGTGGATCTGTGGCCATTTCTCCAAAGAGGTGGGTTACTAGTGTGGCGGTGACACGACATTAGTGAGTGCTCGTTCGTCTCCACACCTGTGGGCCACTTCGGTAATCAGTTACCGCTTCAGGACCCATGGACCTGCCGTTATGTTAAGGTCGTAAGATGCATGTCAATCCTGCGTTCCAACCTGATATTTACACTTCACTTCCAAGTGATCGATAAGCTTGAAATACCAAGTGGCCCTACGGCCTTGATAATATCTGCCAACGAGCATTGCGTACGCATTGTAAGCATAGGGTTTGGAGCAATTTTCCTCCTTCAGCAACGCCTCCGGAATTACCTACTTTCCAATGAAAATATGTTTCCGAGTAGTTGCCAAGTCGAGAACAACGTGTGTCACGGTGTGCACATATGCCTGCTTCTAAGACTGGCTGAAACAGTGGTCCATAGCAGGATTACTGGGCGCGGTTGCCTTTGTAAATGATTGTAAACACATTATAGGAACGCCCGTGGATGAGACAACAGTGTTTCAGTTGTTGTGGAGTTCTCCGAGCTGGGCAACTTGGTTGCAGACGTTTCGCCACCATTCGAGGTGGCATCTTCAGTGCGGGATTGGTAGCAGTGAAGTAGCAGTA